TGCTGAACAAATCTTGCAGTGAGCTGTAGGGGGTTTTCTGGTTGGCAGTGAGAGCCGTAGTCTTTGGCTGACACTGGTTGTCATTCACACAGACCTTTGCTCAAGGCTCTCAGATAGCTCAAGAACAGAGGGAAAAAGCTGGGCAGTGGTGGCGGTGCATGCCTTTAATCACAGCCTTTAGGAGACAGAGGCAGGTGGATCTCTGAGTTTGAGGCCAGCCTGGTCGACAAGAGCTAGTTCCAGGAAAGGCTTCAAAGCTACAGAGAAACCCTGTCTTGAAAAAACAAAACAAAACAAAACAAAACAAACAAACAAAAGAACAGAGGGAAAAACGTTCATCAGGCCAGTAAGATGTAGATTGGCCCTTCTAGATATTATCCAGAGGGCTGTTTTGTTCGTCCCCACTCTAGGAGGCATCCAACGGCCTGGCCCTGCTGGAAGCATTGCCGTTCTGAAGCCTCCGTCCTCTGACTCAAGAGGTTAGCCCTTTCCCATTGTTCTGAGGCCCTAAGATAGGAATCGGCTGGTGCGCGGCTGGAGGGGTGGTTCAGCGGTTAAGAGCATGAACTGCTCTTCCACAGCACTCACAACAGTCATCTTACTACTGCCTGTAGTAGCTGGACGGTGGTGGTGCACGCCTCTAATCCCTGCACTCAGGAGGCAGAGGCAGGCGGATCTCTGTGAGTTTGAGGCCAGCCTGGTCTACAGAGCGAGTTCCAGGGCAGGCTCCAAACCAAAGCTACACAGAGAAATCCTGTCTCTTAAAAAAAAGAAAAGAAAAGAAAAAAAAGAAAAACCTGCCTATAACTCCAGTCCCAGAAAATCCAACACTTCCCATCTCTGAAAGCACTTGTGGGAATAAGTCCCACTTTTTTTAAAAAAAGATTTATTTAGTTATTATGTATACAGTATTCTGCCTACATTTATGCCTGCAGGCCAGAAGAGGGCACCAGATCTCATTACAGACAGTTCTGAGCCACCATATGGGAATTGAACTCAGGACCTCTGGAAAAGCAGCCAGTGCTCTTAACTGCTGAGCCATCCCTCCAGCCCCCATAAACCCTACTTTTAAAATTATTTTTTTCTCAGTCAGGTATGGTGGTGCACACCTTTAATTCCAGCACTCTAGAGGAAGCAACACATGGATCTCCTGAGTTCAAGGCCAACCCGGTCTACACCTGTAGTGTATTCTAAGATAGCCAGGGCGCAGAAAGAAACCCTGTCTCAGAAAACAACAAAAAATCCTTTTATTAGTTCCTTGAAAAACATATATCTTAAAAGATAGCTGATGGTCACCTAGGTTAGGTAGACTCTGTGTCCCAACCTTTTGTTTTTGTTTGTTTTTGTTTTTCGAGGCATGGTTTCTCTGTAGCTTTGGAGCCTGTCCTGGAACTAGCTCTTGTAGACCAGGCTGGCCTCGAACTTACAGAGCTCCACCTGTCTCTGCTTTACAAATGTTCCACCACCGTCCGGCTCTGTTCCAACTTTACCCAGGAGAGGACGAGCACACCTGTGCCCCCATCGCTGGAGAAGCCGGGCAGGACTGTTGCTAAGAGCCCAAGCCTGGGTTACCAAGCTTCTATCAGACTAGTTGGGGTTATGTATAAATACCTTGTCTCAAAAAAGAAAAATTTAATCCCACCAAAGCGAGGTCAGTCTGGTCTACAAACTTAATTCCAGACCAATCAGAGCTACATAGTGAGACCCTCTCAAAACTCAAACCTTCCAGGGGCTCTGAACTTTCCTGTTCCAGTGACCTTCAAAGTACCGAGGATAGTGGAGCCATAGGGCCAAGGCCCTAAAGTTATTAAAGATCAGGTAAAGCCCACCGTGAACCTTAGGTGAGCAGGAGACAAACTTTGTATTTGGGCATTTGGGGCTGTTAAATCGTTCCCCCAAATACAGGTAAACGTGTGTAGTACACACAGCTAGCAGGTGAGCTCCGAATACAGGTAAACGTGTGTAGTACACACAGCTAGCAGGTGAGCTCTGCATTGCAGGAGGAAATCAGAGCAGAGGCGCTGCAGAGCTTGTGGAAGACGAGTGAGTGCAGGTGTGAGCCCAGGGCCCAGCTGCACAGGCTCCAGCTCCTGACCTTAAGGTGAGTTGCCAGTCCCAGAACAAAGGGTCAGGAGAACTTGCAGGCATGGTCACAGGCTCCTGTGCTTCCCCCAGGTCTTCTGTCTAGAAGCAAGGGTTGTCCAACACCCTGGTTTCCCTAACTTCTCATCCTATGAACCCTGAGCTCTTGGGAGACAAGAGTTGCACTATGCTGCCCAGGCCAGCCTCAAACTTGAGATCCTCCTACCTCTACTGGGATTATAGGTGCCACCACACTTGGCCCAGAACCCATTTACTTTAACATTTTTATTTTATGTGTATGTTTGCTTGCATATATGTGTGAATATGTGTGTTGTGTTGCCGGAGGGCATTGGGTCTCCTGGAACCAAAGTTACAGATGGTTGTGAGCTTCCATGTGGGTTCTGGGAACCAAACCAGGGTCCTCTACAAGAGTGTCCGTGCTCTTAACTGCTGAACCACCTCACCAGCCCCAGAATCCTCTACTTTGATGGATTCTACCTGACAGGCTCTCAGGGTCTTCTAACTTCACCCCTCCTTCTGCTAGGCATGGCCTTTGCTATGGTGTCCTGTGTGTTTTCCTTCCCTGGGTTTGTCACCATCTGCAGCTAAAAGTCAATGTTCCTATGAGCCACACCCTCTTCAGTCCTCATGCTCCCCAGGTGTGGGTGGAGTGGGAGGAGACCTCCTGGCTCATGTGCCTGGGAAATACGAGCACAGCAGGCCCCTGATGGGACTGACTGAGGTGTTTCAATGTCCTCAGGCCCAGCGCCTGTGCCGCTCTCGTTCTCAACCATAGGAGTGGGCAAAGAAGTTCCCAGCAGCATCACCAGCTCAGATGTGCTGGGGGTCAGTGCCAACTCTACAGCAGTCACCATACCCAGAGTGTCGCATCAACTGACCAGGCTGCACCATGCCCATTCAGTCCCAGAAGTGGGCTCAGCTGCCTACACCTCAGGTTGGGGTGGAGGAGTCACAGGAGCATTATAACCAAACTGGGAGTGGAGGAAAGACAGACAGCACCCAACCACTGTCTTAGGTCTTCCCTGCCCTAGCCTGTCTTCTCTCACACAGTGCAGTCTCCGTTAAGCTACTGGCTCCTCACGCTCCCTTCAAAACCCTGTCCCCAACCTCTCTCCCTCAGGTTCTGCTATCCCCCCCCCTCCTGTCCTGTGTGCCTTCCTTTCTGGAAACCTAAGGTTCTGTCAATTTTAAAACACATATTTTTTTTTCCAGTGCTAGGGATCTAACCCAGAGCTTCGTGAGCGTTAAGCAAATGCCTCTCATCCTACTCCAAACCTTTTGCCATCTTAAAAAGTGGAGGGCTGCCGGGCAGTGGTGGCGCACACTTTTAATCCCAGCACTCGGGAGGCAGAGGCAGGTGGATCTCTTTGAGTTCGAGGCCAGCCTGGTCTATAAAAGCAAGTTCCAGGACTGGCTCCAAAGCAACACAGAAAAACCCTGCTTCGAAAAACCTAAATATATAAATAAATAAACAAATAAATAAAAGCAGAGGGCTGGAGACAAGGTTTAGCATGCTCTTCCAAATGACCAGGGTTCAGACTCCCAGGACCCACAAGGTAGCTGGCAACCACCTACAACTAGTTCTGGGGGATTCGATACCCTCTTCTGGCCTCTGTTCATACCAGCACATATGTAGTGCACAATTCAGGCAAAGCACCCTTACGCGTAATACAAATTTTACAAAGCAGCAGCAAACATACTCTGCATTCCTTTAGTCCCTTCTCAGTCCCAGCATGGCCTCAGCTCTAACTACTGAAGCAGTGTGCAGAGGCGCTCCTCTTTGGATACTTCCTTGTCTAAAACATTTGGCAACTGTCCTCTCCCTTCTATCAGACCATCTGGATAGCTCAGTGTGGCAGCTCTTGTGTCTGGTAGTCTTCCAAGTTCATACACCTGTCTCTAGGCGTCCATAGCATGGTTAATTCATCTTTTCTTCAGTGACCTCAACAGCACCCCAAATTCATCACAGCCAAAATTGAGATCTTCAAGCCAAATCTCTTTTCCTCTTGTGTCCTCAGCTAGAAAAGTGTCCCACCCTTGCCAAAGAGCTAAAGAAAGCTAGAAGAGGCGCTTACCAATACCCTCTGCAGCCTGTCTTCAAGCCTAAGGACAAACAGGCCTGGGTCTCCTCTGCGGCCACCAGCAACCTCACCCACACGCCCAGCATGTCCCCAAGGTCCCCTGAATGCCTCCATCAGGAAGAAGCCGGCAAGCTTGTTAACAGATGGACCCACCATCTCCCTCTAGGCTTCCTAGGCTTGGGAGCCCCAAGTGGCCACCACCTTCTGCTTTCCTCCCCATTGCAGTTCTTGCCTTTGGCACTGAAGCTGCTCCACAGGCCCTTGGCTAGCTATCTCACCTACGTGCCCCTTCACTGTGCTGAGCCCGCCACTGTACTGCTGGCAGAGCTCCACCGTTTAAGGCCCAATCTCAGTACTGGTCTCACCTGTCCCTTCTCAGCAGTTCAGAGAAGGGTCCACAGCACAGTGAGGAGCTAATCTTCAGCATTTTCAGTGTGTGTCGCTTGGTCTCTAGACCACCTTTCTTTCTTCAGTGCCCCCCTTTTACTCAGTCACTGGCTGGCCCACCACTGTCCCTACCTGCCCCCATGTGGGGAAGTAAGTAGCTGGGTGGTGGCACATGCCTTTAATCCCAGCACTTGGGAGGCAGAGGGGGGCAATTTCTGTGAGTTTGAAGCCAGCCTGGTCTACAAGAGCTAGTTCCAGGACAGGCTCCAAAGCTACGGAGAAAAGGAAAGAAGGGAGGGAGGATGGGGAGGAGAAAGCGGGAGGAAGGAAAGGAAGAAAGAAAGAAAGAAAGGAAGGAAGGGAAGAAGGAAGGAGAAAGAAAGCAGTCACAAATTCCTGAACACAAGCTGAAAAGAAACCAGAATTCTCTTCCTTTTTTTAATAAATGTATTTAATAAATTTAACAACAATTTCTCTTCTCCCCAGAGCGGCTAATACTAACTAAAAGGCGGCGTATAGCCTGGGGTCAGGGGCAGTGAGCGCTAGGAGTCATAGTCCTCCTCATCCTCTGCATCAGGTGCTGAGGGGCCAGGGGGTGCTGGGGGCAAAGGCAGAGAAGAGGCGAAGGGCATGAAGGGGGTTGGAGGGCTGTGGGACAGAAAATGGAGGAAATCAGAGCATGCTACTGTGCTGCGTGCAACCCACAAGGCCTTCTACCATCCTCCAGCCCCCCAGGAGAGAAGGGCCCAGAGAAGAGCACTATCCAGGTTCTCTCCCAAGGGTGAGAACAGGCTTTTGTGTTTACGGTCCCCTCCCACTCCTAAGCCAGTCACCGCCATCAACCACCACCACCAAGTGGCTAGGAAAGTAAGAGGACACTGAGGAGTCTGGCATGCCTCCTGCTGGCATCCTTGGACTGCTTACCTCTGAAAGTGGGCAGGGGGGTGACTGGCTTGGGGCGGAGGCTGTGGTGCCTCTTCTTCCCCATCAGTGTCTGTGTCCTCAGACTCATCCTGTGAGGACAGCAGGAATCAGAGATAATGAGAGAAGGCCTGGGTCATCACTGGGGAGCCCAGGCCCCTGGGAGAACCGTGACAGATAGGTCTATCAGGATTTAGAATGCAGACAGGGGTACCAGGGGTGTTAGAGAACGTAAGAGCAAGTCTCAGATAGCTTTGCCTAGCACAGGCTGCCTTTCCCACAGTCCCCCTCACTCACCTCCTGTTCCGAGTCTGTCCCAGACAGCTTCTTGTCTTTGCCTTTGCTTCCAGTGCCTCCATTCTTCCTGCCACTGCTGCCTGGTTTCCGACCCCTTCGGGAAGGTACAGTCCATCTGCCCAGAGGACTCTCTCCTCCTAGTTCACCCCCCAGCCACCCCCAACCCTGTGGCCTTGGCCTTTTCCAGCTATATACCTGGTCTTGGCTACCCACCTTCGAGGACCCTTGTCCCCATCCATGTGGTTGTCTTCCCCATCCCCCTGCATGTCGGGCACAGATGCCACCAAGTCTTTCAAGAAGTCAAACTGCTGCTCCAGCTCAATGCACTGTTTCCTGAAGAAGTAGGAGAGGAAGGCGTCCAAATGGGTCCCAAACACTTAGGCGGGACCCTAAGGATAGGTTACGAACAGCCTTTTCATGTCACAGCACCCCTCCCCACTGACACCCACCCGGTCTGGTGAGCTTGGCTCCAGTTATGCCCTCCACCTGGAACACCTAATCCCTCCTACAGCAGTCCAAACCCACCAAACTGGCTCAAACTCCCTCAGTCTCGCACCACTCCCCCATCGGGACACGGCCTCTTCATAAGCCCTTCCCAACTCTGCGGCCACTCACAGGTGGGACGTGGTCATGGTTTTGGCATTTCGAGACTGGGTCACCTGGCAAGCCTTCTTCAACAGGGACTCCAGGAAGAGCTCAAGCGCCCGGGCTGACGGGTGTCAAGGAGAATCCGAGAAAGGGGAGTGCCGAAGTCCCGCCCCATGCCCCTCAGCCCAGCAGACCCGAGCAGGATACAGATGATGACAGGCACAGCTGCCGCCACCTTCCCAATCTCTTCGTCCGTCTGCATGATCTTCTTGATCCGCGCCTGCCGAAGGAAGGGGACAGAGCTCGGATGCCGTGGCCTGTGACCCTGCAGGAGGGCTGGGGGCAGCCAGGGGGTACCCCGAGAGAAGGGGCGGGAGGCACAGGGCCAGTGGGGCATGGAAGGGGGCGGGGCGTCAGGCCGAGAACACCTAAAGGCACCCGCCCCCCCACAGCAGGACCTGGGCCCGAGCCTCCCGGGAGTCCAACCCGCCGAGGCCCAGCTCGGCCACGTGCTCACCGGCGGAAACCGCGCGTTGTACTTCTTCTTCTTGCTCGGCATCTCGGGGCCTCTCTCGCCGAGCCGGGCCCAG